GAGAAATGCAAAAATTTCTCTCTATCGTAGAAATATCATATATCTCTTTTCAGGTAAAAGCAAAAATCAATACTGATGGCAGTCTCTCTAACTGGGGTGCTGGTGTGGGGAGAGTGTTTAGGGACTCCTCCAGTAGGTGCTTGTTATTTTTTCATGCCCCGACTGAAGCAAGGGATGCCCTTGAAGCTGAGTTGATTGCAGTCTTCTGGGCATTAACCTTTGCTAAATCTGCTAAGTGGTTTAATATTTGGCTAAAGGTTGACTCTCTCTTACTTATCAATGTTCTAAAAAATGAAGACCAGTCCTCTTGGCATTACACATACTGGAAACATAAAATCAAACATCTCAAGGATTCACTTTGCCTCAACCTGGCCTTTATTTACAGAGAAGTTAATAAACATGCCAATTTGTTAGTTAAGCATGGGTTAAATTCAAACTGTACTTCTGTTGCCACCAAACCACCCCCTCTACATTAGCTCTTCTGCTTCATGGGGATACCATTGATGTCCCACATCTCAAATGGAAGGCTCACAAATTTAATGCATCTTCTACCATCCCTACTAGAAATTATAAACATCTCCCTGTCCATTAGTTATGTCTTGCCTTTTTGTCACTTTTATTTTCTTTTCCCTTCCCACTTTTTCGTATGGCTATCTTTTGTGGTCAGGTCTCCCTTTTTAGAGGTGAGTCATTGTGTAATAGGTTTCTAGAGGGGGACCTGTTCCTTTTTGAGTCTATTGTAATGGTTTTCATCTTTTAACATGTAGGGAGCCGAATAATGCTCCTTCCACTAATATATATATATATATAATAAAAGGAGACTAGGCTCCTATATCATTAATAAAAGACACAATATATATATATATATATATATATATCATCTTGATTATAAAAAATTGATCAAAAATAATAACATCACGCTTAGACTCTTAAATCCCATTTTTTCCTCCATTTTGTCTTAGAGCTAGGATTTTGTAAATTGTAAATCCAGTTTGAAAGACAGACTTATAGGATTTCGAGAAGCTGGAGCGTGTGAAAGCGGGTAGGAGCGGAGGGTAGAAAGACCAGTTATTTTTAAGGAGAAATTATTGCATACGGACACCGCATGCGGTGAAGACAGACTTATAGGATTTCGAGAAGCTGGAGCGTGCGAAAGCGGGTAGGAGCGGAGGGTAGAAAGACCAGCTATTTTTAAGGAGAAATTATTTTTTTAAAAATTTAGGTGAGGCCCACCGAAATACATCATGGCCATAGATCATCTGATTTACGGTCAGGATCGGACACCGCAGATGCATGCGGTGTCCGTCCGTATGGAATAATTTTTCATTTTTAAGGGTGTTTGGTACGATACTTTCAGCATAATTAAAGTTGGATTTATCTTTAAATTTAACTAAACATCATAAATAAATAAATTAGATAAAATTATCGTCAAGTTAAATTTAATTATTTTCTTATTCCGCTTATTAAATCTGAATCTATTAAATTCACTTGTTAGTTGGATTTAAATAATTTGTTGCAAAAAAAAAAAAAAAGGTTCAGAATGATTTATGCCAAATAATTCAAATAGATTTAATTAAATTTAACTTTAATTCAACCAAACATTATTTCAAATTTAATAATATTTAAATTTAATGAATCCGAATTTAACGATTTTGGGTTATGGAATGAGCAGAAAAGTTTCGAAAGGATCCTTGAATGCTGCGATCCAGTGGTTACTTTCCTAACTTACTCCTCCAATTGCGACTGTACTCCGCAGAGAGTATATATTAATTAATTAGTCCTAACTTACTCCTCCAATTGCGGTATTCGGTAGCACACTTTTAATAGGATTTAGCCATTCATTTCACCTAAATCTAATAAAACAGAAACAAAAATATATGAAACAAAATCTAAGACTCTGTTGAAGTAAAATGTCTCCCGTTTCGTCTGTTTCTTCCCGTTCCATTCCATCTCTTCTGCAACGTAAATCCAGATTTATCAGATTATACATAGATTTACGTCGTAGTTTCTCCGTCGTGAACTGATCGAAATCCATGAATTTGATAAATCCTATTAACGTAAATCTTCTGCTGCGGCGGCCATACAACGTCTCAAGAAATATTATATACATACTACTTAATTCCGTCTATGTATACATTAACATATACATTTCAAATTCTACGTACATGACATGTTATATTTCACCAACATTTTTTTTTGAAGCTACTACATGGGAAAAATTAGTTGAGATATTTTAATCTAATTTTCATATATTTGATTAATTTTAAATTTCTATAAAAAAATTAATTAATAAATTCATTATTAATAATCAAATTTAATAAATTAATTAATACATAATCATCAAAAGAAAAAATTTCTTGATTTCACGTATTAATAATAAAACGCATGACATAAATTAATCTTGACAAAAATTAAAAATGCCGAGAAAAATTTTCCCAATATAACGGACACTCTCCGAACCGACTTCCTTAGTTATCTCAGTTCCGGCGACGCTCGAAGCTCCGAATCGGGGGAAGATGTCGACAATGGAGCGGCTCTTTCTTGAAATCTTCGATAGGAAGAGGCGGACCGAGCGCCAGCTTCATGAGCAGTTCGAATCATATGGTGAATCTCTTGCCTGCAACGTAATTGCCGACGGCGGGCGACCGCCGCCATCCCCCCCCGCCATGGCTGTTGGAGCTGGCTCCAGCCACCGAAATTTGTGTTAATCCTCTAGGTACTTCTTCATTTCTCGTACTCTCTGCCGGAATTTTTAAAGATTTTAGGGTTTGATGGCACCGGATTGGTATTTATGAGTTATATGGAGATTTAAGTTGAATGGTTTTTTTATTTTTTTTAATTAAAGAGCACTGGAAGTACTCATTAAAATCCGAATGTATTTCATGAAAAGCATTTGAATTGATTTTCACATTATTTATATGTGTGCGATTTACGTACTAGGAGAATCATTTTTCTTGTGAGGAAGTTTAAAACCATCATTTAGAGAACACTCTATAATATATGGAGCGTTATTTTATGAATTGCACACCCAAGCTTTTTCTTAGCATGAATAAACTTACATAAATATTTCAAACTATCATGAATATTATCAATAACTACTCACATGAAAAGAAGTGATTGCTTTCGCATAGAAACTTCATTATTCTACAAAAGCAAAAGAAAGCTTTCTTACTGCAATTTTAAGTAAATTTGAAGCTTGAGAATCATATAAGGACCATCACAACAAAAGGTGGATACGACAAAAGCTGGATACGTCATAATTTTGAAGTAAAATAGCCACAACACAGGAATAAACTAAGGCTACGGATTTTCATTGAAGCTTTTGATCCTTTTGAATTCTGCAAATCTCTTATCAAAATCAAGATTCCTTTTAATGACTGACTTTAGGATGGGTTGTAAAGGTCTAATAAAAAGAAGTGTAAGCAACAACTGCTCACAAATTTTTGGTTTTACTTTTGTCGATTTTTTTTGGCTTCCAACTTTGTTGTCAAATATGGATTTAGCACTCTATTATTGGTTAGTTCTTGTTAATCCAGATTCCTATGTTGTTGTTTGGTGTAGAGCTTATTTTTTCACAGACAAACTTAATTTGGGATTATATTATTCCCTTCTGATTGCTGATATGAATTTGGTGTAAAGATTATTTTTCACGCACAAAATTAATTTGGGATGCTGTTATACCCTTTTGATTTATGTTTATTCTGTTTCTCCAGCATGTAGACATCCTTCATCTTCATTTTGGAATACAAAGAGAAAATCTTGCAGTCCTACTCGGAAGTTCATACAGGGAACTTTGCCCCGAGTATGTTCTTAGTTTGTTTTCTACATATATTTGCAACTTTACAATTTCTAATAATTCTTTTCATTCATTTAACTTCAAAGGTATCTAGAATGGTATCTTTGGCATTTTTAATCGTTGATTACATTAGCAGGATGACTGATTCATTTGTTGTTTCTCCTATTGTATGATTAGTGGTAGTTAATTTAGTTGTCTTTATAACCGTTATTTATTTTTGGTTAATTTCAGGTTCAGCTCTCATGTATAATTGAGCAGTTGGTATTCCCATCTTTTCTATTTGTTTCTAATCTTTGAGGCTTTGTCAGAAAACATTTAATATTTGTGCATTAAATATGATATGAACCTATTTGGTCCTATTTATTAAGGGCCTATTGAGGAAACTTTGTTAACTTCTGAAGATGTGAAGACAAGCATCATACCTATCACTGAAATGAATAAAAAAAATTATTCACTTGTAAGTCAATTAATTTTTATTTTTAATTAGTTAGACCTTTGTTCTTATCATTAATCACTTGATTTGGAAGTTTTGGTTAAAAATAGACTATCATTTGTTATGCATATGATGAGTGGGTCAACAAAAGCTAAGATTGTGTTGAACTTTTGATGCCTTGACTGTTGAGAAGTAAAATTTCTTTGTAAATGAAGAATTTGTGTGGTAAAAAATAATGGAGAGTGGGAAAGGGAAATGTATGGGTGCCTTAATGTAACGTAGACAAGGTTAGGGAGAGAGAAAGAAGCCTAATAACTAGGAGTAAGAGGAGGTAATTAAGCTTATAGATGATGCCAAAGAAAATCAATTTTTTTTTTCATCATCAAACATTTCTAATTACTACCCTAGACGAACTATTAATTTAAAGAAAAGAGTAGGAGCATTAGAAAGAAAGGAGTGTAGACTTCTCTTGTATTAGTTGAAATCGTGCTCTACCTACAAAGGATTGATGAGAAAGATGGAAGAAATAAAGATATCCTAGCAAGAAATGAAATCTAAATAATACAACCTATTTTTGATATAAAAATAATAAATATAATAGATTTTATTTCTATAGTTTAACTAAAATTGTGTTCCAAATAAGCCACGTATCATAAAATACCAAGCTGCAAGGTGGCAATGGGAAAAGAACGGCTGGAAATGCCATACAGGGACGCTCGTCTGCTTTTCTAGCTCAACCCAGCAAGCATTTCATCTAGGGCCATTATAGGAGTGGCCATTGAAGGTCTGCTTGCCATCCAATACACATGCTGGCAAAAATCCCTTGTTTGAGGCCACTATAAATGTTGTAGACGATAAAAATCCTCACTTTTTCTTCCTTTGATAGGGGAGAGAACATAGATTTCAATACTCTCCCTCGAATTGGTTTGTAAAGATCACACAAGCTAAGTTTGTTAATTATTTTTTCAAATATGGACCTCATCAATTCTTTGGTGAAATATGCCAGCAGTTTGCTGCGGGGAGGAAATATCTAAAAAACACAGATTGCTTTTTTGCGTTTTCCCTTTAACGCAGTCATTCTACCTTCACATAATTGGTTTGATCATGATGGACAAAGTTGGGTGCGATACTCATAGCTGCCTTATATATTGTCATAGGAGCTTGATAGTTATTAGAGCTTCAAGTAGTTTCAACCAGATTAGTTAACTAATCTCGCTAGCCAAGGATCTAACGTCAGCTTCAGGATTACCCACCACATCATTTTTGTTTTTTTACTTCTCATGCTTGGATATTACCTTACACATAAGTGCATTACCTTGATGTATAACTTATATTAACTATCAAACTTACCCAGTTATCATCTATATAGGTTTCTTTAATTTTAAATTATCTTTTTCTGAACTTTTTTAAAGAATAACCCTATTTTAGGGTTCCCTTTTAGGTACATCATTCATATGTTCTTTGTAAGGTGCATGCATGAGTTGACTTACCTTGCTAATAACGAGTTCAGAAAATGTTTGGGTTATTATCTAACAGTTGACTTATCGTCATCATGGCGTTGATATAAATTGGACCAAATTCAATACAATTATTAATGACCCCTTGGAAAAGTTTGGGTTATTCCAACATAATAATCACTAGAGTTGGGAACTGATTTTTTTAGTTCTTATTGAGGTTCATCTTGTCAGAGCTTTTGCCTCTCCGTTCATCGGCAAATAATGCACATAATCATTTGCCAACTTATAACACTTGACTCGGAGTTTTAAAAATTTTCTCTTATTTTAGCATCCTTATTGTAAATTTTTAAAAATATTTAGCATTGCTTTGCACCTTTTATCAATCAACATATATGAATATATGCCAAAAGAAAAGCATGGTATATAAAACTTGACATCTGGTACTTGATACACATCATATTTTATTAAACAATTTTATGATTTTAGATAAACATAAATATCTTGAAATTGTTTTAACTGGTGATCATAGAAAATGCAATAACTTTATTGGTAAAATTTGGTGTCAATAACATGCTCAATATGAAGAAAGTCTACTTACGTGCACATGACAGTTCAATTTGAGGGCAAAAATTCACAAACATTAGGCTCCCTATATTAGAGGTTGAACATACTACAATTAAATGATCCTTCCAAAGTTTAAAATTGCGCAAATGGTAACCAAGGCTTTTTTCTTTTGAAGCGATGCGTAAGTCTGAAGGTGTTTTAAGGTTTAAGCTTTAAATTTAAAAAATTATGTAAATTAATAAATAATGTATTAATTATAAAGTGTTAAGTAAAAAGTATCATTTTATATTTATTTTGAACATGTTAAAAAGTAATTTAACAACATTCTAATTAAGTAAAAAATTATAAATTTTTAAAAAATAGAAGTAACATTTTAATATGCTAACATCAAATTATGAAATAAGGTGAGTTATACAAAGGTTAAATTATTAAAATAAATCAATAAATTAAAATAAAATATTAGAATGTAATAATCAAAATAAATTCAACATAAAATTTTCTCTCACTCATACACTTCCCCACTTAAAAAAATATTTAACAAGTCATCAGCATTTAAAATTATAAATTTAAAAGTTATTATTACTCATCCCCCAATTAATATTCATTAGAATCATCAACATAAAGAATTATTTATCTCGCATCTTATTTTTATTTCTATCTATATTCTCTCATTCTCTCATTCTCTCATTATCTTTTTTTCTAGTTATTCTTATTTTCTTAAATATTAGTCATAAATAAGAATATTAATTATAATAATAAATTTTTTTGATAATTAAAACTTTAGTTGCATAATTTTTTTGGATATATATTATTTATATTTTTTATTATTTAGTCTGTGAAGTGTGAGGGTTAGTGGGTAATGTTATTGATATTGCTTATAATTTTGTTAAAAAAATTGCAGATAGCCTTAAAATTTAAGGTGTTTTTTTAGGTAAGGAGAGCCTCAGCCTCGGTGAGACATATGCAAATGAACAACTTTCTGTATGAGTTACGTGACGACTTATATAATAGTTTAAGTGTATCTTAATGGAATGAAATGTGCATACTTGTTTAGGCGATCCATTATCACCAACATCACCGTAAATACCACAGATCATGGCAACCCCTCTATAAAATTCATCTTCACATCCTCCCAAAACTTCTCAGGTTAGGCCAGGGGTGGCAATAACTCTTTTGGTGCCATAGTCAAATAATTGTTCGTTGGCACACATCACATCTCGCCAACATGCTACATCTCTGTACATCTCCGCCCAATATAGCTCGGTTGATAGTCAATTATATGTTTGTTGTACCACTAAGTGTTCCTTTATTGCATTGTCATGAAACTCCTGCAACAGTTTGGGGATGTACCTGGATGCTTTCAGTTACACAAATTGTTCCTGGTAGAGTAGTTGTTGGCCCCTCAATGCATATTTTGGATTATTGTTCGGATCCTGTAACAACTTTGCTCTGAGCTTCCTTAGCCCTTCATTCTGCTCCCCCTCCTGCTTCAGGGCTTCCTAATTTAGGACCGGGGGTACTTATAATGCTCTCAGCTGCACTTCCTTGGTTGTGCATTTTTGGCTTTATTCTCCAATCTTGGGCTGTATTGGATCTCAAACTCATATCCAAGTAATTTGGATAACCACCTCTGATGCTTCTTAGTCGCCATCCTTTGCTCCAATAAATACTTCAAGCTCCTCTGATCCATCTTGACTTTAATGTGTCGCCCCAATAGCTAGGGGCATGATGTCTGAATGGTCAAGACAAGAGCCATCAATTCTTGCTCATACGCGAACTTGAGCCTCACTCTAGCCATGAGCACCTTGCTGAAATAGACAATAGGTCGCTGGTCCTGCATGAGTACTGCTCTAATCCATACCTTGACGCAACCGTCTTTTTCAAAAATTGCTTACTGAAGTATGAAAGTGCTAATACTTGAACATTTTTCACGACTCTTTTCAGCTGTTTGAAGGCCTGTGTTGCTCCTTACTCCCCCTTGAAATTATCTTTCCTCAACTGCTCCATCAGTGAACATGCTATCATGTCATATTCTCTCATGAATTTTTGGTAGTACTCGGTGAGGCCTAAGAACCCTCCTAACTTCTTCAAGCTCATCAACAACGACCAATTCAACATAGTCTTGAACTCGTGTTGATCTACTGCTACCTCTGCTTTGGTCATCTCATGCCCTTGGTACTCCAGCTGTGACTGTTTAAAGGAACATTTTTTCACGTTGACGTACAACTAGTGCTCTCTCAATGTGTCTAATACGGTCCTCAACTTTCCTATATGCTCTGCTTCTGTTTGAATGTAGATCAGAATGTAATAAAAAAATACAAGAACAAACTTCATGAGGTAAGGTTGAAAAATCCCGTTGATGAGAGACTAAAATGTGGCCAAAGTTTTGGTAAGGCCAAATAACATTACAAAAACTCGTAGTGTCCTTCTCGAGTTTTGAATGCTTTCTCATGCACATCCATTGGATTCATCATGATCTAATTGTATTCCGACTTCAGATCGATCTCGAGAAGATAACTGCTCTATAAAGTTCATTCTAGCAGCTCATCAATCACCGGGATAAGAAACTGTCCAGTACAGTTTCCATGTTCAAAGCCCTTACCCACACAAAATCGTCAAGTACCATCTTTTTTTTCACAAATAGAATTGAACTAGAAAAAATGGCTCACACCGGTTCTGATAATCTTTGCTTCGAGCATCTCTCGATCAACTTCTCTATCTCATCATTTTCAATCTGATGATACTTGTATGACTTGACACTGATAGGAAGAACTCCTTCCTTTAATGTAATGGTATGCTCGTGTTCCCTCGGTGACAGCAATCCACTGGGCCGTTGAAAGAGGTCGGAAAACTGTTGTAGAAGCTGTTGAATGCACTCAGGGAACTCTACTGACTCAGGCTCCCGGATCACCTCCATACTCGACAACTCCACCAAATAGCCCAAACCCGCTGCTCGTATCGTCTTGACTAAGGTTTTAAGTCAGATCATGGTTTTGATTTGTCTTGCATCCTCTCTTAGCAGCACATTCTTCGCTTCCACCCTAATCTCCTAATCGATCTTCGACTCCCCATTCGTCTATAGCTACTTTATCCCCAAAATCACACTAGTGCTTCACAAGTCCAAGGGAAATAAGTCCTTCACCACATGTAGGCCCTATAGTGTTAATACTAATCCCTTGCAAATTCATCGGCTTTTTCCACTTTCATATCGCCATCTTGACCCCAAAGCTTCCCGTATCTACTAACTTTAACTCCAGCCGGTCCACGACCCGATTTGAGATGAAATTGTGAGTGACCCCAATATCCACAAACACTACTACCGGCTGCTCCCTGATCTGTACCCTCACCTTCATGGTGTGAATTGGAGTAAATCCCACCATTTAGTTGAAGGACACCTCCGATACATCGATGTGTATGTGCTCCTCTTCTTCCATTGTTTCTTCCTCCGACTCCTCACCACCGGCCTCCTCTCTCTCACAAGTTAAAAGGACCTGGAGCATGTGATCATTGCACCAGTGGCCTGAGGCATACTTCTTATCACATCGAAACATAATCCCTTTGCTCTCATGTACCACACCTCTGCTTCTATGAGGCGCTTGAAGTTAACCACGGGACGGCCCTCCATATTCCTATCATTCGATGACTTCTTCTGGGTTCTCAGCATCATGGTTGTTGAGGTACTCATGTGGAATCTTTTCATGGTGCCGCCTTTGCTAATCTTCTTCTTCTGGTTTCGTCTTTCACCATATGGGCAAGCTCCATCATCTCCCTCAATCACCGCAATCTCAATAGTCGGAGTGTTGCCCATATGTTGGGCTTTCGGCCCTTCTTGAAGTTTCCCTCCAATACTGCTTCAAAAATCCCCTTCGGCTATCCTGACAGTAGCTCAAATCTCTCTCCATAGTCCATGAAAGTTTCATGAAAGTCCTCTTCTAAGTTAAGGCATATAATTGCCTATGTAGGTCTTCTTCCGAAATGTTTCAAAAATGTTCTAACATGCAATCCTTAAATTCCTCCCACGAATGGATCTGATATTTAGCTTCCCTCCATTAAAATCGTGCGATGGTTTTCCTCTCCTAACATAACCCGGATGTCATGAGTTTTTCCTTGCCATTGAGCCCATTCACCGTGAAGTATCGTTCTGCTCAATACATCCACCCATGTGCATGTTCCCCCCGAAGATTGACATCTTCAACTTCCTAATACTAGCATCACGGCCCAACTTCCTCTCCCTGTGGTATTTTCTCCCATTTATCTAGTGTGAAACTCCCTCATTCGATCATAGTCATGCCCCATTCTTGTTTCTCACTTCGTGTTCATCCCAACCCTTTGCATAACATCTTTTCCATATTTGGACTCAACCCTTCCATCGAAAATCTCTAATCCCCACCCCCCATCTGAGTCATAGGGGAGTTCTTGATGGTAGATGCTTTCCTCCTCATGTTCCTCACGTTCGATCTCTTTCCTTTTTGATATGTCCACAGATTCTCCAGTCAACCCTTGGTTAGGGTTTGTAAGTTAAGCTACTGCTGGGGTCTTGGATTGCATCTTAATAAGTTTTTTTATCATTTCCAATTTCTCAAATTTGTTTTCAATGGAGGAAAATCTTTTCTCTATTCTGGATTTAAGTTGTCCTACCTCACTTTCCAATATCTTCTTCAAAACATCAACTTTTTTGCTGTCATTTCTCCATGATCGTTTAGAACAAAAAACTCCTTTACGTTGATTACGTCTGTGAGTTCTCAGTATCTTAATTCATGGCTTTATAGTGTGGTTAGGTCATTGTACGCCATGATCCCGATCAACTACTTTCCTTGAGACTATAGTGTTGCTGTTCGGTCACAAAGGAGCACTGACATGATGCGATCCTACTGGTGTTCCCTACAAATTGCGACTGAATTGCGAGCTTGGATCATGAAGTCGATGTACGTCGCGGTTTCCCTCGCGATCAGCCTTTGCTTCCTAGCAAGCGCAAATCGCGATTGTACCGTGAGCTTCAGTCACGTAAGAGTGATGCAATTCCGGAATCTCTACTGCGACATGTCGTTTCCCTCCCAGATAGCTTTTATCATGACTATATCATCATAAGGCATGCTGCAATCGAGTCGATTCCCAGAATCGACCGTTTCGATATCAATTTGATGAACATGAGCCAAAATTAGTGAACAACTTGTGAGAATTAGGTGGGATGAAATCTAAATTAGGGCTAATCGATTAATATCAAGCAAACAAGAAAAATACAAGGGTAATCTATAATTTGAAAGGTAGATCGTCTCTCTACAAATCTTAGATGCCGCTAGGAACATGACGGCAAAAGGAAAAGTTGTAGGAAATAAAACATAAAGAAAAACCTAGCTTATGACCCTCATAAATATCCTTGAAGACCCATTCAAACTTTCCGCCCGAAACACCCCTTTCTTCTTCTCATATAGGCGATCAACGGCTGATCAGGTTGGTTTGCCTTGGTACTGGACCAGCTGAACTGCAGGCGTATCATGGAGTTGGATATAAACTCAGCATCTTTCCATATTTGCTAGCCCTTGTTAGGGCTATCGTCCATAGCTTAGTCAAAACTTATATTTGATATTCATGAAAGAAAAGGTATGAGAGAATAAGAGAAAAAAGTTATAGTATTCTTCTTGGTTTTGTTGGCCAAAATTTAGCCCAATATATAGAGGTTTACATAGGTGAATATCGGGAAAAAGTAAATTTGTCTTAATAATAATGAAATTGTAAATTAAATAATAGATTTTTCCATACAAACTACTAAATATAATGTATAGCGTTGGAATAATCTAAAATCCGTGGCCATCATCGTTCCACCTGGATGTAATCCGTGGACAATGGATTTACAATATGTGAACAACAACATTACTTTTATAGTAATCTAGCAATATGTGGACAATAACATTTTATTTATGTTGTGTGGTTAATTCTGGATTCTAGAATTAAAGACTTTTTTTCATATTTATTACTTTCCTTGGTACTTATTTCTCTATTTATTTATATACAGTTATCATCATGTTTTTAACACCTAATATGGGAATAAATTCAATCATATAATCTCCCATTTCTTTTCTGTTCTCTCTTAATTTAACTTTCAACAGATATGATCCGTAAAATTAGCAACATGTTTGTTCCAAATCAGCTGACTATCATACAAGCCAAAACTGTAAAATTGGTGAGGGGAAAATGACTGATATGCCATATTGAGATGCCCGCTAGTTTTTCTGGCTCAAACCAACAAGTGTTCCGAGGAAAGAAACCGCTAGCCCCGTATAGCAAGGAATTGCATCTACAGAGGTGTGCCTATTGTCCATGGCACGTCATGCTAGCAGAAATTTCTTTTTTGGGGCTACTCTAAATATGGTAGATGATAAAGAAAATTTGTTATATATATATATTTTTGATAGGGACGGCAGCACATATTTTAACATTGAGAATAGTAGCCATTAAGAATAAACTCTAGTGACAATAAGTAATTGCAAGCATGCCCAAATGTGGGTTAACCATCCTGCTATCTAATGTAAGTGCGAGCATAAATTCTTTATTTGGGGCTGCTCTAAATATTCTAGATGACAAAGCATCTGTTCTTTTTCTTTTGACAGGAGTAAAATCACAAATTTCAATGTTGTAATAGTAGTCTGGATTTTATCGAACAATCTAATGCTCCTGACAATAAGAATGACATGCATGTCCGAATGGTAGTTAATTATCTTCTGACAAATAGAAAAGTAACGAATAAAGATAATGCTATAAACATGATAGAATAGATAGTATTTCACTAAATTAACATAAACTAAGATGCACAAGGTTTTTAACTAAATGTAGGTCTCATATAGACAAATTGTCTAATCTATTTAGCTTGGTCTTTTGTTTTTTTAATCAAAGTGACTGTTTTGTCTTGTTCCCATCAATGTATACTCTAGAAATATTGTTGATGACTTCGTTTTACGAATATAATAATTGTTTGCTTATTTTATTTAATCAATCAGAGAGCTATACTAATATCATCCATTATCGTTATGTGCTACTAAAGAGTTGCTTTCATTTCAGGTTGTTGGACTATATTCTTCTCTTCCATAATTATTTTTAACTTTGTCAACAATGCAAAAATAAATCTTTACACAACAACAACAACAAAGCCTTAATCCCACTACGTGGGGCAGCTACATGAATCCTTTTTCTCCATTTTGTTCTATTTACTGTCATATTTTCATTTAGTTCTGATAAATTAAGATAAATAAATAAATAAATAAAATAAAATCTTCTTTACATTATCTTTCTGAAATCCATTTTACTTCATTATGACCTTACTTTTTTTGAATCTTGACCAGAAATAAACTTTTATTTGCAGGATGATTCTGATTTTAAATCAAGCCTCCATGATTTTGTGATTGCACCAACTTTGAATCAACGAAATAAGATTCCCCACATAGTAGAAGAAATTCATTGCGCCTGTTCAAGGGAAGTAGTTAGATCTACTAACCTCAATGCATTTGAATCAGAAATTCATCAAATTTTGCAGGGAGCCGAAAAATTGCAGTCATATGTGGGTAATTATGAAAATAAAAATTCTGCAAGCTTTGATCGACATGATGGACCTGAAAAGGGTGAAGAACCATCTGAAGCACTCCAATGTCTGTACGGATGTGATATTATCGGTATGTCTGATACTGCTGGTGTCATGTCCAGCTATCATGGGACGATGACTGATTTGAAGGAGTCCAACACTGATCTTCCACATGTGGCAGAGGATAGTATTTTCTGCAAAGCTGATAATATTCCCAGCCTTGAAAAAAAACGAGCTTCTACCACCTCCCACTTGGTAGAAGAATTTCTCATTGTCCCCTCAATGGATGATATTAGATTCGGCAATGTCATGCCATTTGAGTCTCAAATTGATCACACTTCTCATGGTGCTGAAAAGTTATTTTCAAATGTGGATTCATTTGAAAACAAAGCTTTTGAAAGTCTTGTCCAGTATTGTGTTTCTGAAGAGGGCGAGCCATATAATGTAAAACAACATTTTCACAGAGGTGATATTACTGGCACATCAGATACTGCTGGTGTAAAGTTTAGTGACGGGAATGTACCTGATTTCAAGGGATCCAGTATCAGTCTTTCGTGCACATTAGAGGCTAATATCTCCAAAGATGCTGACCAACCCAACCTTCCAAAAGAACGAGCCTCTGCTACTCCACATGTAGTGGAAGAAATTATTAATGTCTGTTCCAGGGATGAAGTTAGAACCTCTAAATTTATGCCATGTGAATCAGAAATTCATCGCAGTTCTCATAGCGTTGAGAAATTATTTTCTCACATGGATGCATCTGAAAGCATTGCTTGTCAGAGTATTGGTCACCCTGATGGGTTTAATGAGGGTGAGGAAATACAACGTTCACACGACTTTGATGTTAGTATATCAGATATTGCTTTAGTTAAGCCCAACTGTGATGAAAACTTGCCTGAATTTGATGGTACTAAAATGGCTCTTCCTTTTGCAGATAATATTGTCTTCAAAGATGCTGACATTCCCAGCCTTTCGAATGAACAAGCTTCTACTACTTCCCACATAGTAGAAGAAATTCCCAGTGCCTGTTCAAAGGATGAAGTTAGACCAGTTAACTTTGCGCCATTTGATTCAGGATTTCATCACACTTTTCAGTGTGGAGTGGATTCATTTGAAAACAAAGCTTCTGAGAGTCTTTGTCACCATGAGGGATCTGAAGAGGGTGAAGAACCATATGATGCAAAAGACAGACGTGTTGTCACTAGTATATCAGATACTTCTGGTGTTGAATCCCGTTGTGATGAGAACATGCCTGAATTTGAGGGATTAGGCATTGATCTTCCCTATGAAGAGGATAATATTGTTTTTAATGATGCTGACATTCCCAGTCTTGCAAAAGAACGAGCTTTCGCCCTTGAACAGCTTCGTCAGTCAAGCATTCTTCTCACCCAAAGGCCTAAATCTTCCATAATGAACATAATGGATATGATTTCAGATGTTTCAAACTCTTCACCTCTTGGCATACTTCAAAAAATGGACTTGGATTTCTCCTTAGAACATAATAATCCGGTCATAGAACAATTTACTTCGACTTCCAGCATTAAGCTGATGGGCATGTTTTGCAATAATGGATCACAGTTGGATGGTCCTGTTTTTGAAAGTTCTCATTCTCTATCCTCTTTAAGTGCTATGTTTGGTTCAGAGTTGCAGAGTCTTCCTTTAACCCCTCCAGCTATAAAATTCAGCCATGTTAGGCTGTCTGGGAAAAAGAGTTCTAGTTCAGTGAAAGTTAGTTCTAATCCAGAGCTTGTATGCTTCCGTATTGATGAAAATTCCTCCACTACTGAAGAAAATGCAGATGTCGTTCAGGTTGGCTATTCCACTCAACGACCTTCAAGAAATATTGAAGTATTAACAAATAGCAAACCTTTGTCTGATGTGACGTCATTGTATCAAAATGGCACATGTTTACTTTCCAATTCCAAGGAATTTTTGGTGAGAGATAGCCTGGAATCTGTAAACTCAGATGCTGCATCTAGCCTTGGATTTGAATATCCAGAGAGAGAGTATAACTTGAAGAACAAAGAGAATCATAGGTACACAGATGCGATTAAAGAACTTGGGAAATCTACCAAAACAGTGACTAAAAGGTCTGAACGGCCAAGGATATCATGTAGATACAGTGACAAAATTAGGAAAAACCAAAACATTTTAAAAGGATGCAAACAATCCAACATTCTATCCAACATATCTTCATTTATCCCTCAAATTCAGCAGAAGCAGCGACAAGCTCTGCCATTACAGAGTGAGTGATTTTTGTGTTTGGCAGTTTCATTCCTTTTCACCATTAAAATCATGTCATCGTCTACTGGTTATATTGTCATGCCTGGTATAATACTGTTGTTATCCGGGAATTCACGTTGCCATTTCCCATATAAAATTTATAGGAGATAATAAAATCCAGACAACACAAATGCACATGCTAAATTTGAGGGTAATTTTGGAAATTTTTATTCTTTATTGCAATCGGATATAAGCCACCCTTTCTTGGTCTGTTGCTTAATAAAACATTTTTGTTGACGGTAGAGAATTGGAAAGTTGGTTCGGTGAATATGATTTATGTATTTTTAGGAAGGAAAAAATAATTATTCCTATTCAATTTCATAGAATACGATTACAAGATAAATAGTGTGGGATGACTCTCACAATAGGGAAATAATAAATTCAGCCATAACTCTTTATGATAAAAGAATGAAACATGAATTATGACATACCAATAGTTCTAACTTCTAAATATAGTACACTATTAATAGAATAATATACTAAAAATATAATCTTTCTAAAAATCCAAGACCTCTCTCTCATGTTGGAGCGTAGATATCTATCATGCCCAATTTGCGTACAAGTAGCTCAAATTAGGCCTGAACAATCATTTGGTGAAGGTATCCACAATTTGTTGAACATTAGGGATAAATGACATGCAACTAGCTCCACAATGAATCATGTTTTATGTTGTGTCTGTTAATCTCCACATGCTTTGTGCGATCATATTGCGCTGGTTTTGGTTCTATGTTTATGGCTGCTATATTGTCATAGCATAACTTCATTGGCATGCTTATTGGGATATGTAGCTTTTTAAAAAAAAATTTCAACCATAACTTCTCACATATTCCACTAACCATAACCCTATATTCTGCCACCACACTACTCCTTGCGACCACATTCTGTTTCTTCCTTTGCCATATAACCTAGTTTTCGATGGAAATATAGAGTTCATTGCGATCTCCTCTCTTTTGTTTTGCGATCATTTGTTTTCTTGATCTCCTTTCATTTGTGTTCATTATGATCTGAATTTTGTATGGAGTTTAGTATTTTATAAGGAGTTCTCTCGCATATGTAAGAAAGAGATTTTTTTTCTCGCAAGACGCCGGCGGTGGTGACGGTTCCAGTGTGTGGCGGTGCAGTTGTGGATCTTGGCGGCGTAGGGAGGGCTCTGGGACTGGAGCGCTCTACTGTTACACGCAATGGGCACTTCATTAGCCGCTGATATGAGTTTTTTATTCTAGACTTCTGCCCTTTTCTGTCTTCATGCGACCAAATAAGCTTTTGGAGTGTATAGTTTTTTGCAGTTTTCAGACGAAGTTGAAATTTGTTTTTGTTTCTTATCTTCTATAGAGCTGTTGAAATATCTTTTTATTGATTGCAAAGGATTAATGAGGCATGAACTCCATGCTCTCTTTAAATGAGTAATTTTTTATCCTCCAAATAGAACTTGTTAGTTGATGGATCATTTTAGAGTATCACTTCACCCTCAAAATAAAACTTATTACTTTAATTATCAAAGTATCACTTCACCTGAAAACGGGTGCTTGCTTTGTAATTATCAATGTTTTAAGCCATATGACCTTGTTCCGCTGCCTGTGGACCTTTTAAATATCGTTTGTACTTCTTAATCTCTTTATATTTACTACTGGATTGAGAAATGAAATCGATTTATGTGATTTGGTCATTATTTAATGATAAATATTAATAATGTGAGTAAAAAAGCTTGAAGTGATGCTAAGTAGTTAAAATACCCTCTTAATCAGCCAACCAACTAATACTTTGTTTATTAATGTATTTAATAAATATTTTAGGCCACTATTTAATGGTTGTTAAACCGTTAAACTTGTCATGCAAACAATCACGATGATACAAGTTCAAGCACTTTAACAAAAGTTCATTGTAAATTTTCTTTTATTCCGTACCTTAGCTGCTTTATTATTGCCCAGTAACAGATTTCTCAAAATGGATAGTCTTACTAAGTGAGTCCTAGTCTGGAAGTATGTTGTGGCATCCTTGTGGAACGTTGAAGATAATGTTGGGGAGTTTGTTATATGCAATACTTTTTAATTCTCCGCAAAAAAATATTTGTTCGAGTGTTGTTTACCTGCTTTTTCTTGACATATATTATGATGAATAATGCTTCTTAAATGCTCTAAATGAAGTCGACTGTGAAGCTATTATAGGGAAAGCTGTGTTTTCAATTTTTCTATAGTTAGTTTCGTTTTGTGATTCCTACCGTCTAGGTGCTTGCTTTAGGACAATCATTTTTTGGAAGGTTTATTTCACATTTTAATAGTTAAATAATGGTATTTTGATGTGATAAGAGTTAGGTGGAATAAATCTGAAAACTAAAGATTAGGTGTTAGATTTGAATTATTTGGTATGTATGCAAATGCCCTTTTTTTATTAGACTGTTATGCTGCTATTATTTGGTGATTATGATTGATTGGCACATGCCTAAACTTCAATTCTTACATACCTGCCGTATGTTCAATTCTTACATACCTACCAGTTGAAACCAATGTATGTTCAAGGTTGCTAGTTTTGATTGAGTTGTGATCTAAAAAATAATTTTGGCCGGCTCACTTGAATCTCTCTAACCCGAGATTCCCGCTAATCATAAATCTACACAAAATAAGCAAAATAAGTGATGTGTCCCTTGTTCCTCAATGATCTGCCCATAATGCAACCACTTCAGCTATATATAAATCAACATAAAATTGACGATATTTAATTAGGATATGGATGATAATTCTGTCGCTTCATTGTAGTCCTATTTTATTTATTATTTGAGCCATCTTTAGTAACCGTGCATACTTTAAAATCTTAAATATTCTATTTTTGTCATTGCAGAGAAGAAAGACATTAAAGTTAAGGCCCTGGAAGCTGCTGAAGCTGCCAAGCGCCTTGAAGATCAGATGAAACTTGAGCGTGAGAAAAGAAAGGCAGCTGTGAAACTGGAGCGGGAAAAATTGAGGCAAGAAAATACCAAACGACTGAAATTCGAGCAAAAACAAAAAGCTGAAGAGGGGAGGAAGAAGGAAAACATTGCAGCAAGGAAGAGACATAGGGAGGCTGAAGAGAGAAAAGTGAAAGATAGAAAAAGGCAATGCATTGGAGAAACAAGGACATTACAAAGACAACATAGAGACAAATTGCATTGTGGGAAAGCGAAGAAAGATAATCAACAAAAAACCATAGTATAATAGCTTATATATTCATTTGTTTATTGTATTTTTACTCCTTATATGATAAACATGCATTATTCCTGTAGGATGAGGATCAGAAAGGGGGGAAACAAAGAAACAATGGAGGCCAAAAGAAGTTGGAAAGTGTAGTAGATGTTATGGAAAGTCAAATGGCCGTTGAAATGCAACAATGCACTATTGAACTTGTATCTGCTGATACCATACGGGGTGATGATAAGATTAAAGTTCTAGTGGCCTCTGCTGAACGCACATCCTTTGAAAAGGTAAGAGTTTGAAAAATATACCCGGATAGTTGTTATTGGTTAGTTTATTCATAAATAAAAGTTGTTGTGTTGCATTAGGCATAATTTTATAGTTTTCCTTTACATAGGTGAAGTTAAAATTACTTTCTGATTACTTTTATTGGCGAGTAGATTTATAATATAATATGAAATGTAATCAATAGTGGGCATCATGCCTATTGTTAAAACTTTTCTTTTGCAAAGGTAAAGTTGAAATAATATGAAAAAGCATTGTTGACTAATCTATTATGTCAGTATATAGGGCAATCCTCTTTAGTATTAGGCTTAATTTTCATTTATGATGGTCAACATTAGTTTCAATACATTTTATTTCTTTTTGCATAAGATCTGGGTCTCAAGTCTCTAATAGCCACGTCCATTTTTTTATCTTCATTTTATTCCTGTTTTCTTGCATGCATTTACCTTGGACATTTCTGGAGCATTTCTCAGCATTTTTTTTTTAAGTCTGAAAGAAATAATATTGATTTTTATCTTCTAATACAAATTTATCAAGGGAGTTGGCGGTTCAAATTTTTTACAAGAAACAGTAGAAGATACTGTCTGTGCTGCACACATTTCTTTTGAATTACAATCATATGAGATGTCTCCATATCAAACGTCTGATGAAGAAGACATGGAAGAAGATAGCAGACATAGAAAGTACATTCCAAAGTGGGCAAGGTAAGCTTAGTTTTGTAATGTTCAACTGATATAAGTATGCATTTTATATTTAACGATCTCTTTTGGTAGCCTATAGCTGTAAAAAGCCCGAACTTTCAATGATCAAAATCTTGTTCGCTTTGGTCTACTAGTGACTTAACAGTTTTGTCTACCTGTTGCAACTTCCCAAATTCACTCATCCTAGGATTGCCGCTATAAGATCACTTTTAACTTCAGTTTCTAAAGAAATTCTAACCATCACACGACAAAATGCCTCTATGTTTGAGATTTCAGCTTCATCCTATTAAAGGGATTTCACAATCCCCCTCATTTAGTAACTTACGTCCTCTTGAAACTAACATCCTCTTGTATCCTTACATACATACACAAAGCAGAAAGAGTTCTAGATGTGGCCTATATATATATTTAGGTGGTGGTTCCCACCATGTTGTACTTTGTCCAATAAGAGTTTAAGATATGGCTCTTATACTATAGTTTTTTTTCTTGTATGATTATTTTGATCTTCTAGCTGATGTATTGCGCTAATATCATTTATAGCAGGGCATACTCTCAATCATCAATATATTATTTGTTTTGGCCTAATAATCTCATAGTTTTGCCTACTTGGTGCAACTTAGTAGGGGTCACCCATCCTAGGAGCACTAATATACGAGCACACTTAACTTCACACTAAAGGCACCTCAATATGGAATGCTGAGCATCATACATTAGGGATTTTATAGTAATCTTTTGTAGAAGATTTGTGGCCTTTTCAGCAAATTTAGTCCTATTAGTAAGTAAACGTGATTTTCATTTCCATGCAAAGTCTCTGCCTATTCATTGTCACCATGATTATGAAGTTTTGCCCTTATTTTTAGCTTTACATAACTTTTTAGTTGGCCGTTTCAAGTAATGTACTTTATTTTTCTTCGTGTTGCACAAGCTGTTGTGCCATTTAGTGATATCCTTGATTGAGGATTTTGATCTTTATTTGTTTCATTTAACATTGGTTGATGTGCTGCCTTTGAAGTTCTTTTGTTCTTGTCTTTCATAATTACTTCCTTGGATATCGACTTGAGCTTATTTTTACTGATTTTCTTATTCTGGAAAAGTAAATATAAAATTGCCGAGTATTTGTTAATGCAGAGGAGAGAGCTTGGTTGAAAGCATTGTCAGCAATCAGCAGTTAGATCCGAAGGATATCTTTAGCCGCAAACGGTCATTCAATATTTCTCAAGGTAAAATTTCCCCAATAATTTTGTTTGCATTTCAATTACTGGATATTCAATTGCTGGGTGCAAATCCTCTACACGGTTATTATGACAATTTTGTAGACGACCAGTTGGGGAATTCCATGTCTAATTCATTTTGAAAGATTGGGGGCATGTTTGAGATCAATTTTATTATTTTTTTTAATTTTTTTTTTGAACTTTTGTTTTCAAATGTTTGTCTTGTGTGTTTTTCTCGTCTTTTTGTTTTTGGCCTTTAAAAATAAATTTGTTCATTTCTAGGAACACCTGAAAAAATTTTAAATTATTTTTTGTATTTTTAAAAATAATTTGATTTGTTTTTAACGTACAAAGATGTTATGTTTCAATTGAAAACTAAAATAAAGTTAAACAAAAACACAAAATTGAAAACAAAAAATAAAAATGATCCCAAACAATCCCCAATTTCTAATTTTTTTTTTAGATTCAATTCATGCCATCCAAAGTCTCTTGGACTACTTACTTTCCTCAACTGTACCTCTGTAGTTAACCATGATAACTGCTGAGTATTTGAACCCTTATTTGGTCTTGGTCAAAGACGGACTGAATCCTTTTTTTGCAGTTTTTCCCACCGAATTGGTTGGCGCCAACTATTGAAGTGATCCGTAATCCTTGACTTGAATATTCAAATTGGACATGGACTTATGAGAAATAAAAAGAAGATTTTTTAAATTTAACTAAAGTGATGTGTCCCGTGTTCCTCAATGATCTGCCTATAATGCAACCACTACAGCTATATATAAATCAACATAAAATTGATGATATTTAATTAGGATATAGATGATAATTCTATCGGTTCATTGTAGTCCAATTTTATTCAGTGTTTGAGCCATCTTTAGTAACCGTGCATATTTTGAAATCTTAAATGTTCTATTTTCGTGCTTGCAGAGAAGAAGAAAGACATTAAAGTTAAGGCCCTGGAAGCTGCTGAAGCTGCCAAGCGCCTTGAAGATCAGATGAAACTTGAGCGTGAGAAAAGAAAGGCAGCTGTGAAACTGGAGCGGGAAAAATTGAGGCAAGAAAATACCAAACGACTGAAATTCGAGCAAAAACAAAAAGCTGAAGAGGGGAGGAAGAAGGAAAACATTGCAACAAGGAAGAGACATAGGGAGGCAGAAGAGAGAAAAGTGAAAGATAGAAAAAGGCAATGCATTGGAGAAACAAGGACATTACAAAGACAACATAGAGACAAATTGCATTGTGGGAAAGCGAAGAAAGATAATCAACAAAAAACCATAGTATAATAGCTTATATATTCATTTGTTTATTGTATTTTTACTCCTTATATGATTAACCTGCATTATTCCTGTAGGATGAGGAACAGAAAGGGGGGAAACAAAGAAACAATGGAGGCCAAAAGAAGTTGGAAAGTGCAGTAGATGTTATGGAAAGTCAAATGGCCGTTGAAATGCAACAATGCACTATTGAACTTGTATCTGCTGATACCATACGGGGTGATGATAAGATTAAAGTTCTAGTGGCCTCTGCTGAACGCACATCCTTTGAAAAGGTAAGAGTTTGAAAAATATACCCGGATGGCTGTTACTGGTTAGTTTATTCATAAATAAAAGTTGTTGTGTTGCATTAGGCATAATTTTATAGTTTTCCTTTACATAGGTGAAGCTAAACTTACTTTCTGATAGCTTTTATTGGCGAGTAGATTTATAATATAATATGAAATGCAATCAATAATCCATATCATGCTTATTGTTAAAACTTTTCTTTTGCAAAGGTAACGTTGAAATAATTTGAAAAGGCATTGTTGGCTAATTTATTATGTTAGTATATAGGGCAATCCGTTTTAGTATTAGGCTTAATTTTCATTTATGATGGTCGACATTAGTTTCAATACATTTTATTTTAGGTCTGGGTCTCAAGTCTCTAATAGCCATGTCCATTTTTTTTATCTTCATTTTGTTTATGTTTTCTTGCATGCATTTACCTTGGAAATTTCTGGAGCATTTCTCATCATTTTTTTTTTAAGTCTCAAAGAAATAATTTTGATTTTTAATAATTTTAATTTTTGTCCTTCTATTACAAATTTATTAAGGGAGTTGGCGGCTCAATTTTTTTACGAGAAACAGTAGAAGAAACTGTTTGTGCTGCACAAATTTCTTTTGAATTGCAATCATATGAGATGTCTCCATACCAAACGTCTGATGAAGAAGACATGAAAGAAGATAGCAGACATAGAAAGTACATTCCAAAGTGGGCAAGGTAAGCTTAGTTTTGTAATGTTCAACTGATATAAGTATGCATTTTATATTTGATGATCTCTTTTGATAGCCTATAGTTGTAAAAAGCCCGAATTTTCAATCATCAAAATCTTGTTCGCTTTGGTCTACTAGTGACTTCACAGTTTTGTCTACCTGATGCAACTTACCAAATTCACTCATCCTAGGATTGACTATAAGATCACTTTTATCTTCAGTTTCTAAAGAAATTCTAACCATCACACGACAAAATGTCTCTATGTTTGAGTGTTCAGCTTCATCCTATTAAAGGGATTTCACAATCCCCCTCATTTAGTAACTTACGTCCTCTTGAATCCTTACATACATACACCAAGCAGAAAGGGCTCTAGATGTGGCCTATATATATATTTAGGTGGTGGTTCCCACCATGTTGTACTTTGTCCAATAAGAGTTTAAGATATGGCTCTTATACTATAGTTTTTTTTCTTGTATGATTATTTTGATCTTCTAGTTGATCTATTGCTCTAATATCATTTATACCAGGGCAAATTCTCAATCATCAATATGTTATTTGTTTTGGCCTAATAATCTCATAGTTTTGCCTACTTGGTGCCACTTACTAGGGGTCACCCATCCGAGGAGCACTAATATACGAGCACACTTAACTTCGCACTAGAGGCACCTCAATATGGAATGTTGAGCTTCATACATTAGGGATTTTATAGTGATCTTTTGTAGAAGATTTGTGGCCTTTTCAGCAAATTTAGTCCTATTAGTAAGTAAACGTGATTTTCATTTCCATGCAAAGTCTCTGCCTATTCATTGTCACCATGATTATGAAGTTTTGCTCTTATTTTTCTTCGTGTTGCACAAGTTGTTTTGACATTTAATGATATCCTTGATTGAAGTTTTTGATCTTTATTTCTTTCATTCAACATCGGTTGATGTGCTGCCTTAGAAGTTATTATGTTCTTGTCTTCATAATTACTTCCTTGGATATCAAATTGAGCTTATTTTTACTGATTTTCTTATTCTGGAGAAGTAAATATAACATTGCCGAGTATCTGTTAATGCAGAGGAGAGAGTTTGGCTAAAAGCATTGTCAGCAATCAGCAGTTAGATCCGAAAGATATCTTTAGCCGCAAACGGTCATTCAGTATTCCTCAAGGTAAAAAAATCCCAATAATTTTTTTTTGCATTTCAATTACTGGATGTTCGATTGTTGGGTGCAAATCCTCGACACGGGCAGTTGGGGCATTCCGTGTCCAATTCATTTTGAAAGATTGGGGGCATGTTTGAGATCAATTTTATTATTATTTTTTAATTTTAAATTTTTTTTGAACTTTTGTTTTCAAATGTTCGCCCTGTGTGTTTTTCTTGTCTTTTTATTTTTGGCCTTCAAAAATAAACTTATTCATTTCCAGGAACACCTGAAAAGATTAAAAATTTTTATTTGTATTTTTAAAAATAATTTGATTTATTTTTAACATTCAAACATGTTTTGTTTCAATCTAAAACATAAATAAAGCTAAACAAAAACATAAAATTGAAAACAAAAAATAAAAATGATCTCAAACAATCCCCAATTTCTAATTTTTTTTTTTAGATTCAATTCATGCCATCCAAAGGCTCTTGGACTACTTACTTTCCTCAACTGTACCTCTGTAGTTAACCATGATAACTGCTGAGTATTTGAACCCTTATTTGGTCTTGGTCAAAACAAACTGAATTCTTTTTTGCAGTTTTACCCACCTGAATTGGTTGGCGCCAACTATTGAAGTGATCTGTAATCCTTGACTTGAATATTCAAATTGGACATGGACTTATGTTTTTGATAACCATGTATATCAATCATGACCCAATGCAATTTTTAGCTTGGCTCAAAAGACTTTTTTTTTGTTTTATTCCCTTAAAACCAGTTTTTAAGGGAGTTCCGAGTTTATTTTCCATGCATTGGGCTTTTGCTGTATTAGATTCTCTCAGCACTAGTAACGAAGGTATTTAACCTGCTTCTAGAATGACATGGTTGTTAATTGTCATGTTACAGATAATTACCTGATGGATGGTTGCATATGTTATATTGGATTTTCTGTTTGGAATATTTACATGCATGCCTCTCCGTTCCTATGTAATTACATATCTAACACTAACTTTAATTTTACGTACATGACACCTTATGCAAGAAAATATTTATTTGACTTTTTGAAAATTAAAATGGTTGTATTATGATTGTGATATGAAAGTTTTAGATGATATAAATGTAAAAAATATATTTAGGTGTAAATACATAGAAATTGGGTGTTATGCATGTAGATGGGGCTTTGATTTGATAATTGATGCCATGCTTTATCAAGATTCTGTGATTTTATTATTCGGGTCAGGATTCAATATATTTAATCAATCAAATGATGGCAACTGGCATTAAGTCAAATTTCTAGTTGTTTTAATTATGTTGATGCACTATTCATCATATTTTTTGAGTCATTGTGTCAATTTTAAAGCATTCCTTCGAAGCGATGCACTGTATAAGCTGAATGCAACGGTATGTGTATAAGGGCCATTACCCTGATGACTAAGTGGTTAACTCTTATAGGTAATTTTATATTATGAACGGATGAGAGTAAAAAAGTTAATTAATAATGATAATATTAGAATGAAAAACTTAAAATATAAGTATTTTCATATGTAATTTAATAAAATTAGTAGATATTATAGTTCATAGGCAATAAATCTCTATGCATTGAAGAATTAAAAGAGTTGGGGGGAAATATTAAGGAGATTAATGATTTATGCTTTAAAAAAGAAATGTGCATATTAACACTTATAAAATAAATTATTGCAAGTAAAAAAGATCGTTGAGATTCTAAGAATTGCAAGGTTGTTTCAAGTAAAAATTTAAGTATGCAATATCAATTATTGATTTTAGGTTTTAAAATTAAGGTTTGGAAGATAAAAAATATAATATAATATTATATAATATTAGATGGGGACGTGTGTTAAAAAAAATATATTTATAAGTCAAGTCAAGATCTTAAGATTTAGAAATTAAGATGTTCATGAATAAGTAAATACTATGTGAGATAAAGTAAGAAGAATAATTAAGCAAGATCTAAAAGTAGTGTTTTGAAAAATTAAAAGAAAAAAAAATTCTTTAAATAAAAGTAGTTTGCGGTGGAATAATAATGTGTACTAAAAGATAAAAAAAAAAATTGTTATAAAAATTAGTTTAAATGTAAAAATTTGGAGAATTGGAAAAATATATAGAGGCCCATATGGGCTATAAGAACAATTTATAATGCCAATAATTTTACTTTTAATGTTTATTATAATATATTAGAGACTAAAGAGAGTAAAATATATATGTATGAAGTACTCAAATGAAAAGATAATAAAAGTAAAAATTTACTTCAAGTAAGGTGTATTAAGGATGAAAATAGAAAAAAAGTACTTTTAAATGAGAATATTAAAAAGTGGACGGTGATATATTTTAATAATTTTTTCAACGAAGAATGTAAAATTTTGATCAATTATAGTGATTTTAACATCAAAAATAATAATTAAATTTTTATTTTTACTATAGTGTTTGTAAAATAGAAGTTGATGAGGTTTTTAAAAAATGAAGTGTGGAAAAGTAGTAGGACCTTATGATATTCCAATAAAAGTATGAAAATATTTAGGAAATTTGAGATTTTTTTAGCTTAATGAATTTTTAATATTAATTTAAAAATTAAAAAAAAATATTTAATGAGTTAAGAAAGAGTCTATTGGATCTTATTTTTAAGAATAAAGAGGATGCACAAGATTACACAAATTATAGATAAATTAAGTTAATGAGCAATACATTAAAGTAATGGGAGAGAGTACATGAACATAGGTTGTGATTATGATATGAAAATTCTCCAAAATCAATTTGAATTCATGTCCAACAAGTATATAAGAGGTTTGATGGAAAAGTATAAAGAAAGTAAGGATGATCTACATATGATTTTTGTTAATTTAGAAAATGCTTGTGATTTTTGCAAGATAATATAATTTTGACTAGAGATGCACAATAATATATTATCCTCAAGCAAATGGATTATTTGAAGCATTCAACATAATCCTAATTCAAATCTTAAAAAAGTCACTTGAAGATAATAAGAGGACGTTGCATGAATAGTTGGTGGAAACTTTATGGGCTTGTCAGACCACATATAGAATCCCAACTCATTCCACTATATTCTCCTTAGTTTATGAGTCTGAGGCTGCACTCCCACTTAGAGTGTAATTTCCCTCACTTAGAATTGCTACCTGTTTAATTAATATTCTAGAACAAAACATCTGGTAACTATTAGAAGAGCTCAAAGAATAGGATGAGCATGTCTGTTATCTCAACAAAAACTCAAACTTTACCAAGTGTGGATGGTTCAAGTGCATGATAAATTATTTTGGCCTAGAACCGTTCATGTGGGGCAATTGGTCTTGTTACTCAAAAGGCTATTCTTGGCCCATCGAGTTTCTAGACTTCAACCAAAAGTGAGGTCAACAGCCCATCAAAGGATATGTAAATTTGAACCAAAATGAGAAAATCCATTTTTTGTAGATAGTATATCAATGAGGTTCTTATCAATTGTTAAACTGTAAGGGTGAGTGTTCAATACTGCTGATCAATGGGTGTTACCTAAATAAGTATTATGTCTAGTGTTGTTTATTTCTTTTGATGAAATTGGTTCTAGGGGCCCTAATAGAAGTTCAACAATTATTGAATCTCTGAATTTTTAAGGAAAATTTATATTTCAATTATGGATTTAAGAATTGATTTTAACAAAATTGAAGTCAATCAAACTTTAAGATCTCAAAATCTCAACACTTTTTCAACCCAATTGAAAATAATTAAAATCCAAATTCTTAATTCTATCATTCACATTTGATGTTCCCTTTTAACCTCTTTCATAATAAATTTCTTAACTGATGATTAAATTTTAATTAAAAGTTGAGCTTTAAAATAGGTTTAAATTTTTATTATTATTGTGTATAAAGGTCATCAGGCAACCTTATTTTCCCTTTCAAAAACAATAACAGTCTGGCAGTCGATCAAGCTCACATGACAAACCACCCGACAAATAAATTTAACATTGGCTTTGAAGATTTGGATCTATTCTGCAACAGCCCACATATAATTATGGCTTAGCCAAATGAAGTTACTGAGAAGGATCTGTTGATAGAATTCTCTATAAGGGAGGTAGAAACCATGTCCTTAATGAAAACGAAAAGGAAGAAAGTGTCGCCTCTTTAATTCGCAGTAAATCTATTGAAACACCAACTAAACCCCAAATCAAATTAATCATTACTAAACCTACTTCAATTAAACATAAAGGAGAAACAAAAATAGAAATACAAAGAAGATGTATTGCAAAATGACTAGGAAACCAATTTTAGATTCAACTTAAGTTAAGAAAAGTAGAGGTAGACTTAAAAAGGCTTGAGCATGTTGTATAAAAATTGAACTTACAAAGAAGATGTATTGCAAAATGACTAGGAAACCAAAATTGCAGAGGTTGAGCATACACTAGTTGTGGCAGAGTATGTACCCATGGAATTATCTCAAATGATCAGAGACGGATGATTTAAATATATTCCACATTCTCTTCCTATTAAACCACACTAGAGGAGCTAGAGCGGTCACTCTATCATACCTCTAAATTAAGTTTGATGATTAATTAGCAAGGAGGAGGTAGGTGAATAAATAATATTTTGAGCAATTTTAGTGATTAAGAGGAAGATTTGTCAATATATTGGAGGAGCTAGAGCTTTACAATGAAATATTTAGTGAATTGAAGCAATAAAAATTTATTCAGCCTGTGAATGAGTTATAGGAGAAAGGTTGACAGGGATTGCTTAAGTGATGCACTTAAATAAAACTAAGGAGATAGATGAAGGGTAAGGACATAACCACTTTACAATTTGAGTATTGTTATAACAGTGAATGAGACAATGAAGGCCATTTACATGACATCATCTGTAGTGAAGAAGCTGACAACCTCCCCATACTATTTAAAAGCATGATTAAGCGGCTTTTGTTATGGTATGTTATACATCCTTCATCTACACCCAACGTATGCATAGTCAAGAACTACGAAGAAGGAGAATGCATCCAACTGCACATTGACCATTGTAGTTTTGAATGAACTTTTTGCACTATCTCTTTTCAAAGTGAAAGTGATATTATTTTTGGTAAGGAGATCAAGACTGTTGGTGCTGGGAAATTTTTTGGTGCATCCTCTACTCCTTTGTCAGAGGTTTAGTGCTAGTTATTAATGGAAATGGAGTGGATCTATCGAAGCATTATGTATTTGTATAATTGAATTTTTTATTTACTAGAAGTCTGTTATGAACATTCAATTGGCTTAGAATGTTTTTTTTTCATGAAAATATTATAAAATTTATGTTCCTTAAGGAGCAAAATTTTTAGTAACTAAATGTCACTGGCGAAAGAGATCTATGCACCATCTATATGCATTGATGCATGTAACTATACTACCACTGATGCTGACCTAAATAGTGATGAGTCTTCTGGCACACGTCTTGGATCTCCAACAACATCTCATCTAAACGCCTCATCACCTTGACATTCAATGGGTAAGACTGTGGTATCCCATGATGCCAAGAAAAGCTCCTTTCCTCTTATGGATGAACTTGCATAGAGCCAACAGAAGAAACGGAAGTCTTGGTAATCACCTTCTGCGGTGGAAGTAACTCATCTCCACTCCCTTCAACAATCACCTCTCTATAACAGAAGATAAAAATCAGTGAGATGTGCCCTAATCTTACAGTGGTCTGACCACCTATTATGTGAATGATGGACTAGTGGAGCACTACCCTAATATCAATCAGCCTACCCATTTGGGTACAGAAGTTTAGGACTGCCCTATTATTAGTGACATCTGTGGGACTAGTGGTGGAGAGAAGACAGGACATAATGAAATAGTGTCAAGTATGGCAAATAGGGTTCAAACAGGTTAGGGGAAAGTTCACTAGGTCTTTCCTTCATTCCCATAGTGGACTTTCTACTAACTAGTGTTGTTAGTCAGGTAGATAATAATCTTCT